GGGAAAGAGAGAGAGAAAGAAATCAAAGCTGTAACATCCCATGGTGAAATTTCATAATACCAGAGTTAAAAGAAGGTCTGAAAATCTTCCAGAGAAAATAAAAAGCATCGTAAATGTTCTCAACATTCTCAACTAATTGCTAGAAGTCAAAACAATACAAACTTAATTTTATCTGAAAACAATTTTAAATTTATATGATAGCCACCTAAACTACCATTTAAACAATAAGGAGTAGGCCCTTTCTTAAGAAGCTAATGAAGGAAGTTCTTAAGCAAAAAGGAGTAGTCCACAAAAGAGAGAGATGTGGAATCCAGGAAAAATCCACCAATACAAGACTACAATGAAGAAATGCCACAGGTTAACAGCTGTGAAGATTATTTATGATATAAGACCTAGAAATAACCCACATTGGAATAAAAAGGAAAGTAAGTTCCAAGAAGGAGAGATTGTAAAGAGTAAGGCGTGGGGGAACTCAGATCACATGACAGGTGGAGTATTTGGAAAAACTGGAGAACAGGAAACAAACAGTAAAAGGGAAAAGGAAAGGCAATTATTAACTCAAGGAAAATTTAAAGTCTTTCAAGAAAAGAAAATAAAGTCAGCAGTGAGCACTATTTACACAACTGTAAAAATGTAAACTCAGACTTCAACAAAAACTGAGATTTAATCTTATTGGGTTGTTGGAAAAGTCATGACATTTTTTTTCTCTTTTTTTCAATGCAAAAATATGTCTTTTCAGACGACTCAATAGGATTGAGAGTGGATACATGAAAGATATAAAAAAAAATGCAATAGGTAGTATCTAAAACAAATAAACCATGAGACAACTATGAAAGCATATTAGCTAAACAATGGCACTGGGTCCAGTAGGTAGCATAGTGGTTAAGATGCTGGACTCCCTCCCACATGGCTGACAGTGGTTCAAGTGCCAGTCTGGCATCTTGAAACTCACGCCAGGTGCATGTGTGTGTGTGCCCAAAGTCCAAAAGGAGAATGGAGGAGAAGATATTGTGGCTTGACTATCTCCCCTGGGGCAGGGGGCAGTATTTCTCACTTTCTCTCTCTCTCCCTGTCTTTCTTTGTCTCTCCAGTGAGTGCACAAGCCCTATAGCAAACAAACAAACCAAAAAAACTCTCTCTAAACAAATAAACAACAACAACAAAAGACAATAGCACTGGTCTTACGGCCTAGTAAGTAAGGGAGCCAGATCCCACATGGCTGATCACTTGGTTCAAATTTCAGCCTTAGTGGCTTGAAAAACATGCCAGGCACATGTGTGTATATGCCGCAAATCTCCAACAAAATAGAGAAATGAAGAAGGGTTTACAGCATGGCTATATCTCACTGTGGGATGCTTTCTCCACTTTGCTCTCTATCTCTCTGTCTCTGTCTGGCAAGCTTACATGCCCTCTGGCAAAAACAAACAAACAAAACAATGGAAGTGACTAGTGCCTCTGAGAAACAGATTTGAGAATAGAGAGGAGTATGAGATAGAATAAGTTGCTGGTTTTTATTATGAGTCTTTTAGTGTTACACAAATTTAACTATATCCTTCATAAAAATGAAATTTAAAAAAATTTTAAAAGCTTCTAGATATGGCAATAACATTAAGTCGGGTTTTTAGGTACATACTTTACCCTTAGGGAGGTCAGGAGTGTATATACTTCACATGCTCCAATCCAAGCCTTTGTTCCCTGTAACCTGTTATTAAGTTGACAGGCCCCCTGAGGGTCAAAGCCTTCTTTCCATGCATCTTCGATCATAGATTGAATTTTTGGAATACAAGGAATGGACATACCTAAAAACAAGTAAGCATGTTACATGAGTTACTAAAGTACTAAACAATATAATTCGGCTGTATATCATATACTATAGAGGAATCTATAACAGTTTTTAAGACCATTATTCCTTAAATTTTCTATTACAGGTTGAGCATTACTAATAAAAAAACACAAAATCCAAAGTGCTCCAAAATTCAAAACTTTCTGATGACAAAACACCCTAAGTGGAAAATTCCAAACTCGGTATCATGTGATGGTTGTAGTCAAAACACTGCAATACAAAAATACTCTATGACATTACCTTTGGACTATGCACATAAGGCATGTATGAAATGTAAGTGAATTTCACGTCTATTCTTGAGTCCAATCTCCAATTAATCTCTCGTTATATATATGCAAATATTCCAAACTCCACCAAACAAAATCTCAACTCCAAAACAATTCTGGTCCCAAACATTTTCGATAAGGAATATACAACATGTATATCAATTTATTTTCTCCAACCCAAATTCATTATTTCTTATGAAAATATTCACTAAAATAGCTCTCCAATCATGTCTGCTATACATGAATTTATTCCACATCATATGTATTTATCAGATGCCAAATTCAGAGTACTATATTTTACATACCTCTCAAGCAGTCATCATAAACATCATTTTGTAATAATGATGAAAGTAACATTTGGAAATTTCTGTAGCCACAACCCCAACCTTTGTCACCTAAAGATGAATGATAGTGGTCCACTACTGTAGAAAGCCACACACGCCTCACATCTGTGGCAGTATTCTGATAATACCTATGAAGTGCCTCAATAATTCCTAAAATAGAAAAGAGATTGAAAAGATTTAGAAGGCTGTCTTCTCCTCTATTTCGGTATCTTATACATTTCTGTATCAACCTCTTTCGCAAGCTCCCTATCTAAACCCTGTCAAATTCCAGCTCCTTCTTTACCTTCTTACTGCTATAACCTTAGCACATATCCTTGCTTGTTACTACAATCAAAGACTCCTAACACTAGCATACTACTGTATTGGATTAAACTGTTTGCCTTTTCATTTCTGCATCAGCAAGGCCCAGCACATAAAGTTGTTGACTGAATATACTTCTTATTTCCCAATTTTGTTAAATACACTACAGAAGATCACTTAGTCCTAGTCAATTTGGTCCCAATAAAAAAATATCAATAGCTGTCTGATGCCTACAGAAGATTTTTATCTAGGGTAATGAAATCCTCAGCAAGCTCTCCTCAAACTTACCTTTACTTCACACCATTCCTTTTGTCCTAATTTTGGCCACAGCCGGAGTGAAAACAGTAAATACGTTTTTGCCTATGGAGTTTTAATTCAATTTCAGTATTTGCTAATTATTTTTTATATATCTAGCAGAATACTAAGAACTGAAGATAAACAGATAAATGTGATCACATTCCTTGAAATCTCATGAACGCAGACTACAATACTATAATATGGATAAACAAGACGTTAGGATAAGGTACAGACTCCATCCCTTTTCTCATTTTGGTATACTCTTCTTCTGTTTTGAAATCCTTTCAAGGATCAGATTCTTGTCTTGATAGCCCTCTTACTGACTCTTTCTCTGAATACTCACTGCATTTATCTTTCATGCCTCCTTGGTGCTAGCCTCAGTCTGCTATAGCAGAATACTACAGTTCTTTTGTGTGTATTTTATCTCCTCTATAGACTATGCGAAGCTTATGAGTAGGTATATCCTTTTTGTATAGTCCATGCTTTCTCACATGGCACCAAAAAGACAACCACTAAATACTTTTTTACTTGAATGAAGAGAATCCTATAAAAAAAAAAAAAAAGAAAGAAACCCATTTTTGTAAGGAGGGAAATAAAAGGTTAATAAATCAAAATAGGCAGATGAACCAATAGCTATAGCTGTGCCTGGTACCACAAAGAACAGAAATACGAATCATTATAACCATTTCTAAAGAACTTACAAAGATAGAACTTTCATTCTTGAAAAATTAAAATCATAAATAACCCAAGACCAACAAATGGCATAAGGGTTATGTCATTGGACTCCCATGTAGTCAACCACAGCAACTTGAAAATCACACTGGCCACATGTGTATGTGTGTGTGTGTGTGTGTGTGTGTGTGTGTGTGAAATCCCAAGAGGAGAATAGAGAAGGGATTGCAGCATGGCCATCCCCCCTGCAGGTGATTTCTCACTTTCTGTCTCTCTGTCTCTCTTGTCTCTACAGTGAGCACATGTACCCTGTGACAAAAATCTCTCTAAAAAAAAGAAATGATATATAACTGAGTACTAAACGTTGTGGCATGAAATGGGTTCTCTAGAAATTTAGAGAAAGTATGATAAATCTGACTTTTAGTATAATAGTTTGATGACTAGAGACAGCTCTTTAAGAACAAACGTGGAGGGACCAGCTCCATATCTAAAGACCAGCTCCATATCTAAAGTCACTGGACTCCCATGTAGACTACCACAGTTTGAGTCCCGGACCCAGTGGCTTAAACTCACGCCGGGCACGTGTGCACGTGTGCTCAAGATCCCAAGAAGAGAACGGAGGAGAAGGGATTGCAGTGTGGCCATCCTCCGGGGGTGGGGGGTGG